GCACTGGCCCAGCAGAAGCCCCTTAGGAAGGTGCCAAAGGTGTACAGGCCTTCATCTGCCTCTTTCCACTTTCCAATCTGGACAAAAAAGCCAAGCGAGGATGGTGAGAAAGCAGAGGCATTGCAGGTTAGGGCACTACCGTAAGAGCAGCTGCCTGGGTCACATCAAGATCTGAGCGCTGAGCACTGCTCAGCTGCCAACTCTCAGAAGGTTTTTAAAAAAAAAACAAAAAAACAAAAAAACACACAGGGCTGCTGCTTGAAAATGTTCCCATTCCTAAATTTACAGATGCTTCCCCTCCCCAGAGCAGGCAGATGCACAGGGAGGGGAGCCAGAACTCATGCCAGCACTGGACATTTGCTGTGTGGGAAGGCAGCTGCCTACAGAAGTCACCAACGCTTCTTGGCTTTAGCCAGCAGCCCCCAGCCACAGGGAAGAACCCACCCACCTTGTGCCCACACAGACTTACTTTGCCAATAACAAAGATGTTGGAGAGCCTGGTAGCAAAGCTATTGCCATTGGCGTCCTTCACGTGAACCACATCGAACGACCCAGGGTGTCTCTCCCGGTTGGTGATCACCCCAATACGGCCCAAGTTAGCACCGCCAGTCACCATGCACAGGTTACCTGAGGTGAGGAAGACAGGTGTGACAAGAGCTGGCACCAGGTGTCGTGGTGAATCCCTTCTGCTTGGGCTTTTTGAGGAGCACTGCTGGAAAAGGGCAGAAACAGAGCCACAATGGCCCACAGAGCAGCCACCAGAGCACCTGGTGACACCTACATTCCACAGGAGGAAGGAAGCAAAAGACCTCTTCCACCAAGAGGTCTCTGGTCCCAAGGCCCGTACCGAACATTCCCCACCACCTTCTCAGTTGTGTCAGCACCAAGGAGGCGTTCTTGTACCACTTGTCCTGGCACTGCTCACGGCTCTGCAGCTGAAACCTCCTACAGAAAGGAACCAGGAATCTCCCTGCTCACAGCCCTGCAAGAGCCAACCTCAAGCAACCTCTCCACCAGCTCACTGCTTCCACATGGTGCCCACCTGCTCTTCAGAACTGCTCCAAGTCCCTATGCCAAATGCCTCCCACTGCCAGCACGTGGGAAGAATCCCTGCTCCAGCTCCAGGTGGAGATGCCCCAGGGAAACAACCCCTTTCCCAAGGCTGCCACCACTGCCTCTCTCTAGAACAAAGATGTCTGGCATTTGTATTTAACTTCTACACTGCTCTCCATGGTGGGGAAGAGTACAGTGTTTTACATGGGATGCAAGACCTACCAGTGTCAAACTTGATGAAATCTGTGATCTTGCCTGTTTCCAGATCAATCTGGACCGTATCATTAACCTTGATGAGGGGGTCCGGATAGCGGATGGTGCGGGCATCATGGGTGACCAGGTGAGGGATTCCTTTGGTGCCCACGAAGATCTTCCTCACCTTGCACAGCTTGTACTGCAAACAAAACGTAACACTGCTCACCCGAGGCAGCGAGTGGCACCATGGACCAGGGGGAGCTGCCAGCCACAGCAGACCTCACACCCCACGCAAAACATACAGGCACTCCAGGTCTTGCAATGGGAGCCCAGGCAGCAACTTGCCCAGCTCACTGTCTCAGCAGTGCCTCTCACAGGGCTGCCATGCGGCTATTGCTACAGCCCCACTGGAAAACACCTGCGCTTCAGGATCAGCTGCTCACGCCGGGCTTCAGCCTCCCTGCAAACACTGGCTGCATTTTCCCAGAAAAGCCTACACCAGGAGAGTATCCTCATTTTGCCCTGAAGCCCGTGGTCACACAGTGGAGCCAGAGGCTATCTTCAGGACCCAAGAGAGATCTGCATCCTTCCTCCAGGGCACCTTGGTTTCCCTCTCCTGCCTTCCACCCCCCCCCCCCCCCGACTCGTTCACAGTCACTTTGGGACACATGGGTCAACACAGTGGTAGTCAGAGGTAAAAGCATGTCACAGTGGGGCAGAGAGGCCCCAAATGTACACCACAGCCGACTACAGCACAAACAGCTCTCCCCCAGCATCACTGCGTACCTGCTCAGCCTGCACTTAGGAAGGACACACGAAGAGCGCAGACTTGCAGCTCAGGCACACCAATGTGGCTGGGTTAAGGGAACATGTGCAGCAGTCACTCCCTGACACCCACAGCCAGACTTCCGTAACAAACACTGGAAGGAGTTCAAGGCTTTTGCAAAAGGCAGTACCACATTTCTGATCACTGTTAGCTTGCAGAGCCCTAGGCTGAGGCTCACAACACCACAGCAGAGCCATCCCCCACCCCAAAGTTCCTTGCGAAAGTAACCCAGTCCATGCCAACAGCGGTCATTTCAAGTACAAGAAAATGCACCTGCAGTCATCTGGGAACTGCTCTCATGTCACCAAAAGTTTTCCACCCGCCAAAGGCTTTGTACCCCAACCCTCAAGTCCCTTATCTTCTCAAGGGTGGCATGGACTCAGCTCGCAGGGAAGAGAGCCAACAACTCGCCTTCGGGAGATGCCAAAGAGGAAACACAGCCCCGACCAAACTCAAATGGGCCTGGTGTTACACCAAGCCGAAGCCCCTCACCTTGGCCTCTTCAGCTGTGATGCGATGAACAGCAAACCGGCCCTTGGTATCATACACCAAGCGGAAATGCTCACCTGTCTTCTCGATGCTGATGACATCTGATTTCAGAGAGGGAAATAAAATAGTAGCTGTTATCAGCTACATTACCCAACACTGTAACTCAGCACGAAGCTCATGTGTAAAAAGAACCAGGGAGTGCTGAACATCACTTCGGGCATGAATGATGAGCTTGGGATCTGCTCTTGACCAAAGGCTCACATCTTCTACTGTGATATGGCACAAATTATCCAAAACTGCCAAAGGCTGAAGCCTGAACAGCAACTTAGGTATATGCAATCAGGCAGTTATAGGCTACAAATATCTTGCTTTGGTTTGTGTAGCGTTCAGTGCACAACTCCGAACTAATTAACAACTGCTCATACTTCTCTTCAACTCCACTGGGAAAGCATCTTTCCCCCCCAAATCACACCAACCTCACAAAACATTCCCCTGCCAGTGCGGCAGAGTTGCCTGAAGTATCTGCCCAAGCCCTCCCTGCTCACCCATGAAGCCTGCAGGGTAGGTGATGTCTGTGCGGACTTTGCCATCTATCTTGATGAACCTCTGCATGCAGATCTTCTTGACCTCGTCTCCTGTCAGGGCATACTTCAGCCTGTTCCGCAGGAAGATGATGAGCGGAAGGCACTCCCTCAGTTTGTGAGGGCCTGTCGATGGACGAGGTGCCTGCAAACAGAAGCTTTCTGCTGGGTGCTCAAGCACAACAGCAGCATCGGCTGCCCTCAGGGGAAGAATGCAGTTTTGTGGAGCCTAAATGCTAAGCAGGCACTGACAGGCTGTAGATATCTTTTGCTGGTATTCACAGTGCCTTCCCCCCCCCCCAAACCTTACCAGCCTCACAAAACACTGCCCCAACACAGAACAACCAGCTACTGACCCAAACCAGCGAAGGAGAAACACAAGCACGTTAAAATAAAGCAGTCAGCCACCCCAGCGCCATAACCCTTGCAAGCGGGGGAAACACGAAAGCTGCTCGCAAAGCCCCTAACAACAGGCACCTTCTTCTTCCCTGCACTGCCCAACCGCCCCCGCTCACCACCAGCCCCTCCGGACAGCACGCCCGAGCACCCCCCTGGCCAGACTGCGAGGCCGCCTGGGCCCGCAGAGAGCGGCGGAGGCCGCTGCCGCGGGCAGCCCGGCCCGGGCCCATCCCAGTCCCATCCCGCACTCACGAAGACGCCCGTCAGCTTGTCCAGCATCCAGTGCTTGGGCGCAGCCACACGCTTCAGGTGCTTCTTGGGGCCGCGGGCCTGCGGGGCGAGACAGGACGGGACAGGACGGGTTACGAGCCGCCGCCAGGCCTGGCCGCCCAACCGTCTTTCTCCGACCCCCCCGGGGTCTCGGCCCCCCCCGGCCCCGGCGGCCGGCGCCCCCCCACGCCCCTGGACGCATCCGGAGCCGCAGCTGCCCGCAGCGAGCGGCGGATGGCGGCGGATGACGGAGGAGAGCGGCCACCCCCCGTTCTCACCATCGCTGCGCTCGGCGAGGAAAGGACCGCTGCTTCCGGTCCGCCGCAGATATCCGTGGGCACGGTGGCCGCGCCGCGGGCGCCCCCTGCCGGCCCGGAGGTCCGGGGGGGGTGTTGCCCCCCGAGCGGGGCAGGGTCGCCGCTCCCCGCGGCGCCCCGTTGACGTCATTCCCGCGGGAGGTGGGGGGGTGGCTTGGCAGCCCCCACCAGCGAGGCAGGGGCATCCCGCTTCGGCAGCGGGCGGCTGTGTCCGTGGCGGCGGGGCACGGCGTGGGGTCGTGGTGACCGGACCCCTTCCGGCCCTCACCGGTGCTGTGGGAGAGTCCCCCACGTTGTGCCCCCTGCGGTCTGGGAGCGGGTGTGAGGGTGTCGAGAGCGGCACATCCCCTCCCTCCCTCCCTCCCTCCCGGAGCGGGGCGGAGAAACTCGGTGACTCCGGGAGCCCTGGCTGCTCTGGAAGCCGAGCCCGGGGAGGACACGCGTGCCCGGCCACCGCCCTCCTCTCGCTCACGACCCGCCTCGGGGTGGAGCTGAGACCCCACGCAGCCCCCCGAACCCGACTCTGAGCCTGGGCGCTCGCTCCCGAAGGCAGCCCGGGGGCCAGCGGTCCCCGTGGCAACCCAGGGCACGCCGCGCCCCGACAGACAGCCGAGTGGAGCGGTCCCGCACCAGGCGGCCCCCCGGCGGGTCCCTGCAGCATAGCCCCTGCAGCGGGGCGCAGGAGGGACAGAGGTCCCATCCACGGGGGTAACATGTTGTGGACACCACGCAGATGTCACCCCTGGCGCTACCGTAAAGCCGGGAAGAGGCACGGGAGCTGCGGGGAGCAAACCGCCCTCCCACCCCGCGGAGACGGACTCTTGCCCCCCCAGCCTCAGACGGACAGGGAAAGGGGAACAGCCAGGGGGACAAGGGTCCTTCCAGATTTTATTAGACAGCAGCTTAAGACCTGCGCCTGCCTGGCCTGGTGAGGCGGCTACGCGCTGGGGGCGGGCAGCGCGGCCCCACCCCTCCTCCAGCCTCGAAGGCGGCCCCTTCCCACGCGCGGCCGGGCTTCCGGGCGCAGCCACCCCGCCCTCAGCGCTGCCCTCGCCCCCCGTGGGCCCCCGAGGCGCTCGCGAAGTCCAGCGGCAACGGACCGCGGGTCCTCGGCGGGGCGACGCGGGAGCCGCCCGCCCCGGCCGCCCTCCAGCCTCAGCAGCCGGCCGGCAGGTCCGCGGTGAAGTCGAACTCGCGGTGGCCAAGCCAGAGCTCCGGCAGCTCGTCCGCCCTGTCGAGGCCAAGCTGCAGCACCAGCGCCCCGAGCACATCCTCACCCACCGGGTCCGAGTCGATGACACCGGGGCCGGCGGCCGGTGGGGGCCGGCTCCCCGCGCCCCGCGGCTGCGTCCCCAGGCCCCAGCCAGGCGGCGAGATTGGCTCCTGCGGGCGCTGGACTCCCCCAGCGGCGCGGCGCTGGCTGTTGAGCTTCTGTAGGTGCATGCTGGCCAAGAGGTGGGGACCCGCCTGCAGGGCCAAGGGGGCGGCGGCAGCCGGCGAAGCCTCCCCCGCGGCGGCCGGCAGCTCCCCGGCACCAATGCCGGAGGGGTAGCGCAGGGTCGCCGCCACTTCGCGGTCCTTCGTGCCGCGGGCGGGGGACCGTAGGGAGCTCATCTCCTCCAAGGCCTGAGCGGACACGGCGGCGCCCAGCGGGGCGCGGGCTGCCCGCCCTACCCCCCGGGCGGACGGGGTCCGGCGGGGTCTCCAGCCGCGGGCGGGGAGGTTAGAGCGGGGCGGGAAGCGGCGCCCGACTCCCCCTGCGCGTACCTGGGCAGCCCCGCTCCCCGCTCGACTCCGCTCCCCGCTCGACTCCGCTCCCCGCACGGCCTGGGCAGCTCCCGCCGCCGCCGGATTTATAGCGGTCCCGGTGCGGCCGGGCCGCGGGGAAAGGCAAAGCGGAGCGGGGCCGGCGAGCGGACGGGACGGGCTGGGAGGGATGGGATGGGGCGGGACGGTCCTCGGGGGCGGTGCCGACACAGCCTGCCCCTGCGGCGCCCGGTCGGACACCCGTGCCTCGTCGCTTCCAGGCTAAGTCCCTCCGTGTCCTCCCCGTTCAGGCTGGGACCCGCCATGTCACCCCATCCAGGCTGGTACCTCCCACGCTTCCCCATCCAACCTTGGACACCCCCAATCCCTCCATGTTTTCCCACCTGTCTCCCAACCTCTTGGGTGGGAACCCCCATGTCCCCCCGGTCCAGGCTGGGGCACCATTGTAACACGTGTCCGGGGAGGGGGGCAAGAAAGGGGTTCACTCGGTGCCAGGGCTGGTGTCGGTGATGTGGGCTGGTGCCCTCAGCCAGCTAGATGGGGATTTGGGCATGAGGGGGCTGGTTGAGGGGGCACTGGAGGTACCCCCCGAGCCTTTAACTCTCTTGCACTTTTCTTGCTCTGCACCAAGCTGAGCTCCAATTGTCTCCGCATTCAAGGATGTGGACGGAAATGGTGGAGGGGGTGCTTTACCCCATGTCTCAGTTTCCCCAGATATCTGTGGGTGGGCAACTGGCCCGGTTTAGGGTTCCATATCCCTACAGTTCTATCCCCAGGTTCAGCTCTTCCCACACCTCACCTAAACCCTGTTTAGTGCCACAGTGTTTAACACCTAAGGGAGTTTCCTATTTTTTATTTGTTTTCCCAGTTGTGTTCCTGAAGCAGCTCCCACAGCTCCAAAGGCTGTCTGTGCCTGGTGCAGGGACAGAGCACGTGGTGCCCCGAGGTGGGTTGGAGGGGGCAGCCAGCCAGCTTCTCTGCTCTCATACCTCACTTTTCTCCTGGCTGAATGATCCCCAAGGCTGACATCTCCCTTGGGCACTAAGAGCCTTTGCTGTGCTGGTGGCAGCACCGGCCACCTGTCAGTGGTGATGGCACAAGGGTCAGGCCCCACCACTCCTCACTGCATCAGACACTGGGGAAACACGGGGGAAAGCAGGGAGGTAGAAATGGGAGCCACATCCAGCTGAACTCCCTCCATGCTGGATTTCCTGTTGTTTGGATCAGCAGTGAAAAACAAGAAATCAAAACAAAGCCAGGCCAGGCTAGGAGTCCCTTCATCTTGCTATTTATTCCAGCATAATCTAATTAAAGCAACAGGAAATATGCTTTCCCACAGCGACTGGACCTCTTTAAAAAGAAACAGCACAAATAAAATAAGGCCAGGTGGAGGGGACAAGGGCAGCAAAGGCCAGGCTCCACAGCCCAAGACACGGGGAAGGATCTGCCTCTCATATCTGTGTACCTGTACCCTTGCCGAGACGCTGAGTGGCAGCTCTCATGGGTGCTGGCGCATCTGGAGGTTCATCTGCTATCTCCCTGGACAGGAGCTACACCCTGCCCTGCACCTTCCTCAACACCATGGAGAATATCCCCAGGGTCTGGTCCCTCCACACAGGATTTCAGGAGCCCACCCATCACCCAGGGGAGAGGGTGGTGTCTGTGCTGCCTTAGGTGATGGGGCTGGAAGGGACAGTTGAAAATACAACTGCAGCGCTTTGCTTTCCAGTGCTGGCTGGACCTCCACTGAACACAGGAAGCGCTGTGGAAAAGGGCACTGGCAAGGCAGGGTGGGCGCAGGAAGAAAGGAAAGGGCTGGAGGAATATTTCAAATTCTTTATTTTAAAAACAATCCCAGTTAAAAACACAATGGCCATGCCTTTCTGTGGGAAAGAGGCAAAGCCTGTGCCCCAAGCCCCAGCTGGCCCTTGGCACCACTCCCCGGGTGGGCAGCTCAGAGGCCGTGCTCCTGCCAGGAAGACAATGTGGCACTGGGTTCCAGCTGGGGAGGGTTCACAGCCCTGAGCAGCCCCTCTCTTAAAAAATATTTAAAACCAGTTGTGAGAATAAACTCTGTGGTGTTAAACAAGGAAAGAGAAAGGAGCAAAGGAGGCTCTGCCAGCACTGGAAGGCTGGGGCTGGAGGGCCCACACTCCTGCCAGGGGACAGCCATGGTACTCGTGGCGTGCAGCAGCTTTTCTTCTTTAAAGAGAAAAAGAATCAACCAACCAACAGTAATTTCTTCCAAATTTCCCCCACAGCCACAAATTTCACCAGCTGCTCACATAAACACACCATCCTCCCCACGGGAAATGCTCCTGCGGAAATCCAAGCCTTCCTTCTCCATTAAACAACATGCTTCAGATTCCCTGCAAATAAAAGGAGGCAGAAAAGGGTATTTCCACTGATATTTCAGCCTGATGGATCTACCTGGCAAGGGGCAGGGGTGCCACCCCTATGCCTGGTGGACCAGGCAGCGATACAGGAATCCCAGCCTCAGTGCAGACTCCGGTCCCTGCCGGCTCCTCGCTCCTTTCACCAAGGCTGCTGCCTTCCTCTGTGCCAGACTTCAGGAACTACTAAAGGGAGACTGCCACTGCTTCTGCTCTGAGTTTCTCCTGCAGGCTGATCGCTGGTTTGTGATTCATGGGCCAGCGCTGGAGGAGCACACACTCACTTCCTGATACCTTGTCCTTCCTCTGGGCTGGATGTGCTGCCAGGAGTTTGCAGCATAGATCCCTCCCTTCGAGCTTAGGAGCAATGCTGTTCCCCCTTCCCTCCTGGACAGGTCAGGGGGAAGTCCTCTTCCTAGGAATGGACACCCCAGAGCATCCACAGCTATCGCATCTTCCTACTACTTTACTTCTAACACCAACACATCACAACATGGACAGAGTAAAAAGGGCTGCTCAGCCCCATCTTGCTGCCCAGATCCTCCTGGGGATAGGGACAAGACAGACGGGCAAGGGCATCAAACAAGGCTGGCAGGAGCTGACAGGGCTCAGCCAGCTGCCTGCCCTAGGCTCCAACAGCTTTCAGTCTCCTGCCTGGCTAGAGGACTGTCCCAGTTCCTGAGGAAATGCATAGAGATCAGGTGGGGAAGCATCTTCCTTTGCTCTCAGGCAAGCTCCAGCCCTTCACAAAGCTCTGAGAAAAGCAAGGCAGCTCTGGCTCTGCCCTAAGGGCCAATGGAGGGATGCCAGTGCCACAGGAGCCAGCCCCAGGGATGCTACACACAATCCTGTCAAAGGCAGACCAGGGTCTCTCCTTAGGCCTGAAAAAAAAAAAAAAAAAGAAAAAAAAGAGTATCTGGGGCTTTGTGAGACCCTGGGCAAAGCACTTGGCAGCCAGCTCTCAATTCTGGAGCAGCTAAGCATGCTAAAGACAGCCTGCAAGCTGGGTTGGCAGTTCCTGTCCTCTCCCTGACGCTTCCGCACCCACAATTTCTCTTTAGCCATGGTGGTTCACATCCCAAGCAGATGATAAAAACTTTTCCTGCGTGTGAGGTGACCGGATGCTTCGCATTCACACTAGCTGCTCCACACAGCAGCTAGGACTGCGGTTGCAGAAGCAGGAGGGGATGGAAAGCCCAGCAGCTGCCAGCACAGCCAAGCAGGTAGCAAAGCAATGTCGGGAGTCAAAGGTTAAGAGCAGGAGCCATGGCTCTTCTGCTGTCAGTCTGTTCAGCATCCTTTCCCACAACCAGCAGGACTGTTCCCCCAATGCTGGCGTGCAACATTCCCTTGTGTCCTGGGTTTGCATGAGTGATGGGGTTTTTTGGTAGCAGGGGAGGGGGCTATAGGGGTGGCCCCCTGTGAGAAGCTTCTCGAAGCTCCTCCAGCTCCAAGTCAGCTTGCACCAAAACTGAGCCCATCAGCTGCGCCTCTGCGGTAACATATTTAAGAAGGGACGTGGCGACGGGCAGTGGGACTTGTGAGGAGGAGTTGCAGCAGCTGCGTGAACACCAAGGTCAGTGGAGGAGCGGAGGAAGAAAGGAGGGGGGAGGTGTCCCAGAGCAGAGCCTGCCGTGTATGCTGTGGTGAGACATCAGGGGAGACCCCCCCCACACCCATGAAGATTTGTGGTGGAACAGACATTGATTTATGGCCCGTGTTTTTTGCATGGATGATCAAGGTGCTGTGCCCGAAGAAGGAAGGGGTCTTGTGGGAAAAGATAGCCCCTGCTGTTGTAGTTCAGCGCTGGGAGGACTGCAGCACGTGAGGGTGTCCCACACCAGAACAGCTTGGGAAGGGCTGCAGCCCATGGGAGGGACTCCAGTTGGAGGAAGTTGGTGTCCCACGTTGGAGCAGTGTAAGGAAACGCTGCAGCCCATGGCAGGGACTCATGTCAGAGAAGGTTTGCGGAGGACTGTCTCCTGTGAGACGGGGACCGTGACGGAGCAGGGGGAACCAGTTCCAGAAGGTCCCCCCACCGAAGATGGAAGAAGCGGCAGCACTGACTGCACCCTCCATTCCCTGCCACTGGGGGAGGAGGTAGAGATATCGGGAGCAGAGCTGAGCCCGGGGAGAAGGGAGGGGTGGGGGGAAGGTGTTCTCAAGAGGTGGCAATGCTTCTCACTGTCCTACTCTGTTAAGTGTTGTTAGTGTCTGTAATAAATGTATTTTCTCCTAGGTCTGATGTTGAAGAAGGGAGACTGAGGAAGGCATGAACTTCCAAGCTTTCCTGCTCCTGAGACAGTCTGATGAGGCCTGACAGCAGAAGTGAGGAGTTCTAGTTAAGCTGCAATTGACCTGGGAGCCCATAATTCAAGCATCGGTAGGGAACAGGATTTATGACTGTCTCATGCCCCAGGTTGCACTTCGACAGATGACAGTAAAGAGAAGGACTGGCCTTTTGCAACATGACAAAGACAGGAACAAAAATCATCATCCATGGGAGAGAGAAGGAGTGGGGGAGCTGTATGTAACAAAGCACAGCAGTTGTGATCAGGCAGTAGACCAAGCGTTCCCAAAGAAGTGTTTCAACAGACCCACACAAACATCATCTGTCTCTACACAATGGGAGTCCTCCAATCTTGCACCTCCTCCCAGGCAGCGGTTCCTCACACAGGCTTGGGGATAACTGCCTGAATGTGATCCAGGAGAGGCTGGTAGTGCGCCACGTTACGGGC